TGTTTTCATGCTGCAGCAGGAAACTGCACAAGCTAACACAATGATTGCACTTATGGTGTATTGCATCTAAGGCGATGCTGTCTAGAGGAGTGAAGGATTGCTGCAGAGCTGGAGGCAGCAGGGCCGATGGATTTATGGTTTTCCGATGCCATCTGCTGGCATGCACCTTACTTGTGCACTGAGCTGCCGAGCCCTCCAGCTTCCCTCTCTCATAAGCAGACAGTGCAGCTCCCCACGTCTTTGCAGGTGGTATAACCCCAAACCATCACCTCTTGCTGCTTTTTTGAGCTTTGCAAATCAAATGTTCCCTGCAGCCAAGCACCTGTAAAACCACTCTGGTTGTGATCCCTGCTGGGGCTGGTCTTTAGCTGGGTGCCTGAAGGCTATCCACACCTCCCTCTTTGCATGCTGTAATGCTACATGCTCCATGGGAGCAGACCCAGATCCAAGGGGAGCTGCAGCTGGATCTCTCCTGTGGCCTACCAGGCTAAAACCCCAAATCCATCTGATTTTGAGGGAGTGGGTTTTTCTGTTGCAATAATGCTACCAGTAATACTGTACTAGGGCAAAATTGTAATGATACTGCTGGAAAGCTTTGGGAGCAATGAAAGTTTTTGTATAAATCCCTGAAATGCGCTGGAAAAATAAAAGTGAATATTTGGAGGGTAGAGGACGTGAAGAAACTTGTCCCATTCTTGTCTTGTAGTTCTGCAGAAGTGCTTCCTATTAAGTAAAGCTGATTATGATAAGAGCATCTGTTGATTGCAATCCTTGACTTTTACAGGTATTATCACTCTCAATATGCAGGTAGAGCCTACGCAGCACAGCAGCTGCTCTGGGATGATGGGTACTGCAGGAGAGCTGATCCCTGGAGCTTCCTCTGCGTCCAAGCAGCCAAAGCTCAGCTGCTTGTAAGCTCTACTTGACATGTGCTGACGACCTGGCTGTACTCATGTGCACTGCATGAGTTTAGTGGGCAGGACCTCTGTCAAAGAAAAAGCTGAGTAGAAAAAGTAATGAAATTCATTTTTTAAGTCTTATATTTTCAAGAGATTTTCTTTCACTTTGAAAAAACACCGCATAAAGACTTCAGACTCTCTGCTGTGACAATACTTGTTACAATTCATGTACCTTGCTTTGACCTGAATCTAGGTTTGTCCAGGCCTTCCTTTAGTGCTGCCTTCAGGAAATTTGCAATAGTAAAGTACAAATAATAAAAAAAAAAATTTAGAGTTCCTGACACTTAACTTTAGTAGGTCAGGAGTGGGTAGTGGCAAAACCTAGCTGGAATTTGTATTAGCATATTTGCAGATATGGATCAGAGGTTTGAAATCCAGATGTCAGGAGAATGAATGAAGAGGAGAAATCACTAATCAAATTTTCAAGGACTGCAATGCAATAAAACAGGGTAACTCGATGGGAAATGTAATAAAGCCTCCTAGTCTGTTTTCCAGCTACATTCAGGCTTAATGTTTCAGGTCTTATGCCTCCCTCTTCACATGGGCTTTAAAGGGAAGGAGGATGTCTGTGAGGATTCGTGAGGTCGTTTTAACAAATGAGTCTGGTAATCCTGCTGGATGGATCTTTGAGGCTTCCTCCTCATAACAGGGGGCAATATTGTAAAGAAATAGTCTATCTTTAGACCACTGCTGGTGCAGGTAATTCCAAAGCAGAAGCATACTGCTAGAAGTGTCTGTGAGGTGACACCAAATTTTTTTTCCCTTGTTAGCCTCTAAGTGGCTGAATCCGAGAGGCATTTTCTATCTTTTGCATGCATAAACTAACTTTTCTGAATTCCAACATTTGATTTTGTGATAGGGGAAATAGGTAATTGTGCTTGTTTTCAATTGCACCCCCTTTAAAAAAACATAAATATAGAATGTTTATCAGCAAAGAGTAATGGTCATAGACCATAATAAACAGGATGTATATTTTACTGACATGAAACAGATGTCTGCATGCAAAATAGTGCTATCCCATCCTTGTTTAAGGTAGTATGAATGCTTTTACTGGGAACAGGAGTCTGAGGTATTTTTCCATCCTGTAGGATAAAAGAAAGTGAATAAATTCATAGCAGAATTGCAGGTGTTTACTTTCTACAAAGTAAACTAAATTTTTTTCCAATTATACAGCGTAAAAACACAGCAATAATTGACATACTGCTTGAGTTTTGAAGTTGAGCCAATAGTAAAGTAATAATGAAGCATTTTGTTTTTTGTAATATTTCAAGCACATTTATTCTGAAGGTTTAATGCTGTGGCTGGATGGGAGATTGCATGGTATTGCTGCTTTAAGACTTAGGTGGTCTCTGCAGATCAAGATTTTCATTCTTCTTTCTCAAAGGCTTGCTGCTGGATTTCATGCAAAACAAAGTTTAGCTGGAGCCGCCTGATTATAATTGTAAGATTTACCTGTAAGGGTAAATTACAGTACTGGGAAGTAGATGATTTTGAGGGGTTTTGGGCTGATTGTAGTCAGTTACTGTGAACTGGTGAGTGCTCTTTAGATGCTTTGTGGAGGTTTGGTTACACTGAGTCTCCTAGTTCCTGTGGAACAAGCCTCAACACCAAAGACACATCTGGAAGTTTTTATGCTTCCATGCATTGATGTTAATATTCACTGGAAATAGATATGACAGTTTCACTTCATGTTCCTGTATTGCTTTGTAGCCAGCTAATTTGGTTTGGGGGTTCAGAATTTTCATGTGGTTTACCCCAGGGCTGGTTGTACTCGATGGTGGGAGAGAGTTTCTTTCATCCGCAAAAATCCTGAACACATGGGTACACAATAGGAAGCTTTACAAGAAGATTGTGAGAACCCTTATTTACCAACTATCCTGCAGCAGGCAGACCTGATTTTCTTGGTGTGTTCATTTCAAGTCCTTCAAACACCAATTCCACCTGTTGAACTGAGAGCTGCAGGAGATGGTGCTCCTTGGGGGTGCTGAGAGCTTTCCTGAATGTCACTTTGCTTTATTCTCACCAGGAAACTCATACTCAGGCACTCATTTCTCATCTAAGCAAACTTTTTTTTTTTTTCTGGGTATTTTCTCATTCAGCCTGTGAACGAGCTACATAAATAATTTCTTTCTTTAACAGGAAAATTCAGTGCCAGAGGCTGGCTGAGAGCTTTAACGTATTACGGCATTTTACTTGAATCTCTTTGCTCTCAACGGCCACACAGTGGCAGCAAATCCCAAATAGGTTACCCCATCCTTAGTACTTGTGCTGGGAGGAGGATTAAGTTCGTGCTGATAGGGTAAGGAAAGATGCACTGAAGTTTAAAAGGAAAAAAAAAAGTCCACAGGAGCACAGGACTCGAGGGGAGAACTTGAGCCCGCACTGCTCAAGTTTAATTCTTGACCTAGAAGAATCTTCTGCAGGGGAAGCCTGATGGGTTTATCTTCTTGTACTCTGTTCCTGGCAGAATCAGAGCAGCTGGGCTGCTCTTGAATAAGGCATTTATAATCCTTTCCTAGGTATTTCAGTAACTTTTGGTAGAGTTGTATTAGGCTTTCAAGGAGCTGATTATGCATGAATTTAGCATCTCTATGGGGATGAGTGCTCCTCTGGTTTGAGAGCATGTATACTTTAGTCGGTCATTTTATCTCTTAAGGCTTCAGAGTTCTATCTGGCTGTGTACTTTACAAGAATAAAGCCATCCTGTAACTATCCCTTGAAGCCTAAACAAAAAGAAAGGATACCCTCAACATAGATGAGGAACCAAAGCATGGAGGTGAGGGCTTCCTTTTCATGGAGAAAGATTTATCTGGAGACAAGTAAGGAACTGACTTTTCAGGGGGAAAAAAAAAAGAGAGCTTTATATTACTAAATCACTTGGTGTTTTTAAGCACGTGAGTGTTTCTTCCCTAAAACTGCATGGGAAATACCTCAGGTGGGGAATGGAGAACAATCTCAGCCCTCTGGCACCTGGTGCCAAGACCTGTTTGGTGCCTTGTGGCCTGAGCCATAAAAAGTAAATGAAAACAAGGCTGAAAGGCAACCAAAAATAATAAAAATTGGTTAAGTGGGTCCAGCTCAGCAGGTCTGCGTTACATACAGCCATAGTTTAGGGCATCGAAGTTACAGAAGGAGCTGTTCACAAAGCAGTAGTCAAGTGAGACAGGAGGCTCTGGGAGCAGAGAGGAGCAATAGGGGCAGAGCATTTGCACGAAGGAATGTGGTCATACAGGAAAGCAGGGCAAAGCATCACGGGGTGTGTGAACTCTGAAGTAACTTCTTTTGCCTTCCTTGTAAGGAGATTAAAGGAGATAGAATCTGAATATCTTCCTTAATTATCAACATTACCCATAAATGGAGTAATTCACTAGTTTAAATAGGAAATAATATAGTAAAACTTATTTAAACAACTCATGTGGAGCAAGACAGATTCAGCCCACTGCTTTGCCTGTCCTTTAAGAAAGGTTATATGGAACTATAGTCATAAAGCTGTGCTATAACCCTGTAGTACACAGTGCATCTTCTGGTTGTGCCTCTTGAATATCATCACAGGCCCAGTTAGTTCTTTTATTCTTTTGTCTTTCCAAGTTTGTCAGAAATTATGTATTACAGCTGAGATGTATTTATCTTGGAGATAGCAGTTAGATGGAATATAGAGCTTGTTGCCAGTTTAATTTTTTTCTATTTCTCACTAGTCATTTATAATAAAAGAAAAATAGTGCAGCCCAAAATAATTTTTTACCTCTTGGTCCATAAATCTTCACTCCTCTCCTTGTCTAGAAGGATGAGGATTTCTTTGCGAGGTGGTACAGAAATCAAGATTAATGCTTGTGTCCTATGCTGAACAACACCTGAACATTGGCAAAGGCTTGGCTTAGTCCTTCTGAATTTCCAATATAATTCACAAATGACATGTTCTAGCATGAAATTCGCTGTTTCACTGCAGGTAGCTCTTGGAGTGTTAGACTGACTCTGAACATGATCCTGTAGCCTTAGGTGTTTTTAATGAATCTATTACACAAGGTTTGAACTCATTTTCAGGCTGCTGGGTGCAGATGTACTCACCTGACTCATGTGCACGCTTGTCTGCTGATCCCAGCATTCCCCGGAGACAGCTGGCAAGAGGAAATGGGCAAGCTGGCCATCAGTGGACACTGAACTTGTATGCTGAAGGTAAGTCAGACTTTCTGGTGATGTTCTTTTCCTTTCAGGATAATGAGCAGTGGCAGGTTCCCCATGCTCACCCTTCCCTCCCCATACAGCACTTGCTCATTTTTTAGACATCAGACAGGTGACCTGAGCTTTAACAACGTTCGCTGCAGCAGAGGTGATGGCACCTTTCTCTTCATTCAATTTGCATTTTCAGACATCTTTGTTTGCATTTTTATCCATCGGCTTGCTCATGACACTGTGCTTCTGGAGAAAGAGAAGCCTTACAATTCTATTTCTAAGCAAGCTCGATGAATCCTCTGACCAGCCTCTTGCTGTTCTTGTATAAATGTGTACAGTGGATGGTGCAAATACTCTGGATCTTATAATACATTCTTATGAGTCTCAATGATTTTCTTCACCTTATGTGTACTTCTAACTTCCATTACACCTCCTATTTCCCTCCTCCCCTAGGAGGCCAGACTCCCAGCCCTCTCCTCATCACATAGCTGAGTTTGCAGTAGCAGTGCTTCAGGTGAGCTGGCAATGCACCTCCTTTTCCTGGGGTCCTGTTCAGTCTGCTCTGTATGGCTTTTTCCCCCAAATGTGCCCAGATCCTGTTGTTCGGTCTCATTCCTGCTTGCACATGTTTTCTGAACCTTTGGCTGTTTGCATAACCAGAAGCATATTTCCTGGCTGGCATGCAGCCCTGGGATTTGTTTGTTAGCTGTAGTCCTGGATGGGGGTGAGCTGGTACTCAGAGCTGTAGACTTCTGCTTCATTTGTTTTGCAGAGCCTCCCCTGGGTTTAGCCACTAGTCCCACATAAACTGCTTGTGACTTGATTTAGGTTTCTTTTTGTCCTATTCCCCATCCCAAATACTGCTGCACTTGGAACTTATGCAAATATAAGATTCCCACAGAAATGTCTGTTTCAGCTTGAATGGCAAACTACAATCACCTGCCAAAAATGCAGAGGCACCTGGAAAACAGCCTGTGCCAGTGGTTTTAGGCCCTTGTGCCAGATGATGCTCCAGATCTGTTTCTATTTAGCTTCATTGCATAAGAGTGGTGTTGTTTTTTTGAGTACCATGGGCATGAACATTAGTGGTAGAGACAGCAAAAGCAACTAGGTAGTGTTAATTAGCATTGACTAATGAACTTTTCTGATCTTAATTAGGTATAAAGCAATTCCTATTTGAGGCAACAGAAGAAGAATCTGAGCTTTCCCTTCAATGACAGCAGCAATCTTTCTGCAGAGTTCAGATGCTGTGATCACTAAAATGGCAAACCAATTAATAGTGGAAATATTTGAGATGTCACTTGTCACTCATACATACAAAATAATCCATGGTCTCCTACAACCAGAAAAAAAATAAAACTATAATAAGATGAAGATGTGGTGTTTTCCTGTCAGTGAAAAGGAAAGGAAGAGGGGAAAATATTCATTTCAGAGGGAGGAGAAGGAGACACTGCCATTAAGCCTGTCTTGTATTGCCAACATTGAAGAGAAATATTTCATGATTTTTTATGACTTTACTAAATCATATGGGAACATCAGACTGAATAAAGAATAATATGGAGGAAAAGAATGACTCAAAGGGTGATCTGTCTTACTGAAAGTATGGTATAGCTCTGTGCACATACTATTTCTGAAACTGTTTTCCCAGCTTTTAAGGTTTATCCTTGAAGTCCCTGACTCACTTAGAGCTATCAGAGGAAATAAATATTGTAGTCTGAACAGGATGTTTGTAATGTTTCTGGTGGTATAAAAATAACTTTCCCAGTTTCAATTAGTTGTCTTAAAGATAATTTTGGATTTGTGTAATGAAATTTGGCAGATTCCTGAAGATGCTATCTACTTAACTACCTGTGCTGTAAACAAGATCCTCCATGTATGTTACTACATCAGCTGTTAGAGGTGATAGACTTGAATAAGAAACAGCATATTCCTTCTCAATGTTTGTGAAAAATCAATGTGATGATCATCTTCACTTTTAGATTAGACTTCATTGCTTGTTTGTGGTTTTTCCTATTTGGTGATGTTCCAGACTTCAAAAGGAATGAGTGTTTCCTTCAGGAAATTTAACATTTTGATTGTTTTTTCCTAATTAAAGTAAATGTAGTCCTAGACTTCATTTCTTTGTAGGAAAAAAAAAATTAAAAAAAAAAAAAAATGTAGTACTATATTTAACATCCACCAAAATTTGTACTTTAGAAAAGTACAAAGCAAGGTGGGGAGAGTGTTGAGGGAAAGAGGAAAAAGTTACTATTTGGATAGGCCATGTGTTAGTTTGAAAGCATTAGGAATACTTAAGTTATATCAGACTTTCTCAGCATTACCACTCCTTCACACTAAGACTTAAAAGAAATCTATGTAAACTACAGCAGTGTGAAATATTCAAAAAGGCAAATGAAGTAGTGGTCCACACTTCTGTTCTTTTTTCTCATGCTCTACGAACCAAAGCGGGGAAATATTTTACACTTGCACCTTTTTCAGACTAAACAAAATATTTATGTATGATCTTCAGAAAGGACACTCACTTTAGGTGGGAAGCAACTTGCTGTGTAAGATTCCCCAACTGACCTAGTTGCTGCTACCTTGTTTTTAGGAGCCAGGACAAGAGCACTAATTGTAGTGAGAAGGTGTAATTCAGAGAGACCATAATGACCCTGTGGGACTTAAGGTATAATCAGTGGGGTCCTCTGCATATAGCTAAGCTGCTGGAAAATATTGCTGCTCCCCAGATTATCCGTCACAGCCAGCAGTAGTAGCGTGTAGGTGACCTCTTTGGAGGCCCTGGTAGGGTGATCCCCAGGTGTGCTGAGCTGGGTGAGCTTGGGGAGAGGCAGGGGACATCTGAAGGGCTGAGGGAAGAGGCAGTCACCTTCTGCTGGTACCAGTGTTTAAAAGGCTGTCAAACCTCAGTTTCTATTTTGTAGCTACAGATAAATTAGGTTCAGACAAATCTGATTCTCAGCTTGCATCAGTCAAAATTGCTACTCAAATTTATGCAGCCAGTTGAGGTTTTCCCAAGGAATGCAAAACCAGGCAAAGCAGGGCAGCCTCACTGGCAGGGTTTCCACACCTGAACTCAAAGGCTAGACTGCTTTGTATGAATGCTGAGAGAAGCAAATACTCTGGAAATTTTCTCTTCTTTAGAAAGCAATTGTGTAACAACATTACTGCTAAAGAAGACAGGGTGTGTGCAGTGGTGGTGTGAGAGGCATGTTGGCTCCTTCAGCACAGGATTAGAGGGGGTGGGAGGGTAACCTGAAGGCATCTTTTAAATTAACACATCTTTTAAAATTAACTAAATTGAGCTGCATTAACATGAGAAGGAACCGTTATGTGTTGCAGAAACTCACCTTGTGTTGTCCTAGGACACCTAGCAGCAGAGTTGTCTGTTCCTGTGTCCCTGTGACAATGGCCATGGGCTAGGGCGTTGGATGGTAGGAGTGTCCTATCCCCTGTTCCAGGTGGAGCAGGTAAGTGTTGATGTTGAATCCCCTGCTGATGTTGGCTCTGCTGTTCAGTGTGTCTTTTTTTCTGGGATATCACCTTGATTAGAAGAAAAGCCAAACAAAACAAAAATGCTATAGGGTTGTTCTAAGAGGTGATTTATTTAGATGCTATTAATTTACAGATTTAGATTTATTTAGATGCTAATAATTTACAGCTTCATAACTGGCAACTTTGGGAAAGGGGAGATGGGAACATGCAGAGGTTTTTACTAGAGGTTTATATTTGTCTGTTTCCTCTCGATGTATTTGTCCTGGATTTCCTTCTCTGTACAGTTAGTGAATGCAGAGAAATGGCATCAAGTGAGCCTGGCAAGGCATAGAAAACCGTGCTAGTAGTAACGGGAGAACGTTGCTCACTTTGTGGGGTTACTAGGTTTGGTGTGAATTTGGAAAGGATATATAGTCTCTTATTTACTCTTGTGTGGTGCACAGGTCTGCTTCTAGGGAGTATTTGCCTTTTCCACAAAGCCAATACCTCCTTATTAGAGGGATCTTGAAGAGGAGAGAATATTTATACTCTTATCTGTTACTTTTCTGAGGCACGATATTCCATAGTTCATAGTCTCTTATGAAATAGATGTGGATTGATCCTAAACTATTAGAAAAATGGTTTGTGGCTTCTGAAATAGTACAAGTTGCAGATATATTCAGATTCATCAATTGTGGTATTGTTACCTGTAACAGCAAAGATGTGACATGATGATCCACCTACTTTCCAAAATTTAATTTAAAGGTGTTTATTTGGCCTGGAGAGAACAACTTGTTCAGGAAACTGTTTCCTTTCCCCCATACATAGACCCATTTTCCTCACAGGTCCCTACCTAACTTTCCAGGTTACTCATGTGTTTTCAGGATGACTCTGGAAGGATTCCCAGTTTGCTTCATTTAGATACTATTGTAATTATAATTTCACACTTGGCCTTCAGCAGAATAGGGTGTATCATCTCTTGGAAAGGGATATGCATAGGAAAACAAATAAAAGCACTTACCAGCTGGTGCCTGATGAATTACTCTGTTTGAAGTTCAAGGATACTGAGAATAGTACTTGATTGGTATTCACATGTTTGACTGACGCCATTTGACCCTTTCTAGGATATGTATTCAGATATGCACTAATGTAGCTTCTCTCTTGATGAAAAAGTAAGCTGCAATGAACCTTTTTGTTTTCTCTAGATACTTAATTTCTTTTATCAGCAAATGGTCTGGGTTGGTTTCTCCCTTTCTGGATCTCACAGAACTGTCCTGTTCTTGCAAAGCATAAATGGAGATATGACAGCAGCTGGCTCTCAGAAATTCCTTCACAGTACTGTGATCCTAGCAAGGACATATTGCATGATTTGCCTACATGTTGTCAGCACTTAAGATCTTATTACTACTGGACAATTCACCCTCCTATTTATATCGTCTGTCCTCCCTCCATCACCTAACAAACAGCTTAAAAATTGTATACTGGGGGTTAACAGTAAGCTTTGGTCTAATCCTCCTGTTGTAAGAGGGGTCATGTCACAACTTCCTTCACAAGTCACTAGATCGGTTTGCAACATGAAAATGCTGGCTGCGCTGAAGAAGTTTTATAAGTTAACATGGGTGAATGCTTTTCCCCAGAAGTGTGGGATAACTGGAGACCTGGTTTCCACAGAACAGGACAGGCAAAAGATTTATCTTCAGTTGTCTCCAGGATTTAGCCTCTAAGGGTGTTATTTTTATTCAGTTTGCAGTACGATGGTCTGCATTGCAGAGTTAATTCACTTGGTAAAGCAAACAATACTACTGTACACTTGTAGTACTGTGTTGAAACTTCTGTAGTTTAGCCTCTATTATGGTTGTGGAGTGGGTTGAGAGCTTACACTTGCTCAACCAGCAGCACAGCTTTTGTGAAGGCATTACTTACAAATTTCTCTTATCAAATTTGGGAAATGCTTAGGTACCTACAAATGTTCAGAGGAGTTGAGTGTTTTTCTACAGTGAGAAATCTTGTTTTTGAAGAACCAAGTCTCTTCAGATTTGGCTGTCTATTCATTCCTGGATACTAAATGTTTTCCATCAACTTAAAATTCATAAAGAAAGTGAACCAAATGCTTAAATGATACATAACCTTGGAACATCTTGTCATGTGATTTACAGAAATGCCATAAAAATGTATGTATTGTGCTAAGTATTAGAAAGCCCTTTAAAACACCCACACAACAGGCTGCTTTCCTTTTTCTGTTTTCTTTTGCTGTATTTTTCTATGCTTGAGACATCCAGGATGGTAAATTAACAGACATAATCTCCTTTGATTTTTGTACTATAACATTTGACTTGTATTCCTATGTGAAGGAGAGTAGCATTTCATCGTGAACTTGCTGATGCTTGTGTATCTCTTATCAGAAGTGCAGAAGGACATACAAAGCACCTCGCTGTCATCTCCGGCTGTTACCTGGAAACATCTCTCAACTTTTAGTGCTTTCTCCCCTCTTACCCACCTAGTCCTTAGGTAAATTGTTTACATTAAAGGTCTTAACAGTAACCTGTTGGATTTACTGGGGGTGTGGGTGGGAGTCAGCATGAAATGCTTTAATGTATGCTTATTTTATATCAGCCTCAAACTGTTGACACAAGGATTAGGCATTTTTTTTTTTTAAGGCTGCAGTACCATAAATCTCTAGTCTGGCATTTGTGGTTTATAAGGGCTGAGTGGCTGTGGTGATCTTCCATAAACAATTCAGACATCTGGAAGATGAATTTTAATGAGTGTTCTCAAAGCTAAGTGCTACCTCTCACTTCTGCACCTCAAATTCACTGTTTTATTTTGTTATATTGGAGGCTGATCTGTATGTTTTCTGATTATCTACACTTAAGTTGGATTCCCTCAAACCCAGAGGAAGGGGACCATAGCTGGGTACACAGAGGTAGGTTTCTCACCTGGCTTTGCTTACATGAGGGTTTAGACTCCCAAAACACCCGGGCTTTTCTAGGGGTGGGATTAGCATCCTTGTGTTCAGGGATTGTTTCATTTACTTTTGCCCGTGCAAGAGGCTTTTGTTTCATGTCCTGTGTACAAAATGTTGAACCTTGTTCTAGGAAAGGCTCCAAAGTAAATTAGAGAAGCCTCAGGGGCTGTTTTAAATCATAGCAGCTGAGGCCTTACCCTAGCACTTCATGCTCCGCCCTGTGCCTCTTCTACCAACACACTCTGCCATAAGCTCAGATCTTCATCTTTCCAGAGAAAACTCCCTACTCTGCATCACTGGCAGGTTTTCCTAGGTTGGGAAATAGTCAAATATGCTTTACAATACTCAAAGAGAATGAAAGCCCGCTAGGTTTGCTGGAAACAGGCATTCATTTACTGGTTACAGTAATTCAGCATTGCTGTTTATATTCTGAAGACCGTAGAATGACGAAGTAGGAAAAACACAGCTAGAATAATTGCTCCTGGGTATTGTGCTTGTAGATGCAAACTTACCCACTCCTGAAGCTGCTGAGGACTGTTTCCCTGAACTTCCGGTATTGTGCAATTGACCGTATGCTTTCTCTGGGGCTTCCACTTTCCTCAGCTTAGGCAAATACTGGTCTCTGTCGGAGGCAGGGAAGGGAAATTGGTGGATCAGTGGAATGATCCAATACCAACAAATCCATAGTTGCAAAAATAGCAAGTTATTCTTACTTTTTTCATTCTGACTCAATTTCCTGCCCTCCTGCTACACTGTTCTGAAGATTGCCTGGATGATTGATCTGCTTTGAAGATGGTTATACCCCTCTGAAAAATAAAGTATGTGTTGAATAATAATTTATCATGACTGTGTTGAAGAACAATGACTGGGAGCAGGGCAAGAAGCTGAGCTGGTGTTAACAACCTTTGATCACATTTGACATGTATCTAACTAATTCCTGGGGTGGGCATTACTTTTTTTTTAAAATATTTCTGAACCTATTGTAGTAAATGATAGTAAACATTTTTTGCTTGATGAGTTTTATCATACCTCTTTTAGTGATCTCTTGCTCTCCATCTCTGAGAGTGATAACGTTTGGCATGGGCTGGTGGTGAGCAGATGGAGCTGCCTTTCTCTTTGGACAGTATAGCTGTCCTTGGTGTAGGAAGCATGATAACCTTTAATTCTACCATAAAGACCTTTAGGGATCTATGTACTAATGGCTCTAAAGGTGAATATGACAGTTGGTCTGACTTTGCAAACTGGTCACCTTTAGCTTGTCATCATTAAACCTTGTAAAACTTAGCTATAGCAGTGCTCAGCTCACCTTCAGTAATTTCTGTATTTTTAGATATTAAAATAAAATTGAAAAGACTGAAGAGTCTGTGGTCTGATCCTTTCAAAAGTAACTTCTGTGTATGCTCATGTGAAAATGCTGGAGAGTCTCACTCAGTAGTACTCTAAGTAGACTTGTGGCTACGTCTGCATGGAAACACTTGTTCTCATCCAGGACCATTAATACTGTGTAGCTCACTCCTCATCTAGAGGCACATACAAGACTAATATCCCCCAGTCAACAATTCTAGTGAGTCTGCTAAGACATGTCCAGAAGATTGTTTAAGTAACAGGGATGGAATCTGTTGTGCTTTTAGTCTTAGATTTGGAATTTAAGCTTAATGAGATTTTGTGGTACTGTAATGAAACAGTGATAAATGCTGTAATAGGAGGTATCCAAGTCAGTTTTGAGAAATGAAGATATTGCTTCCTAGCTCTAAAACATTAAACAGTTGAAGACTCTCATGTTTAAACTTTTACTGTCTCTAAGTTTCCTCCTTCAGCTATCCCAACTCAACTTTCTGAGCACATGCCTGTTCCCACAGAGGCAGTGCAAGGCAGGAGAATCCTGTACTGAATGAGCGCTTCTCTGATAGTAGGCCTAAAGGAAAAATACTTCACTTGGTAGAGTCTGCAATGGAATACAGATTTAAATTCGTTTCCCTGTTCTCTAGATCCAGGACGTGTCTATAACACGCTATTACTCTTCTAGTTTGTTTGCATGTTCTTCCCATGAGGATCAATTGAAATGGAGGAATTGTGTACACCAATAATCTGCTTTTTAATACTGATTTATAAAACTCTGCAGATGAAGGGAGGGGGAGAGGCTCTTCAGGAGGAATGTTACAAAATATTGAATGGTCGTTCTTCATTTTTTCCAGCCCTCCTTAACTTATTCACATTGTTCACATCTCCTACCTGTGCCTTTTGTGATTGTGTTCTTTTTGTGTCTGAAGATGAAGACCAAAGGGATAAATATGAAGAAAATCACAGTTAAAGAGCAAAGATTGCCTGGCTTCAGTAGATGTGTTCAAACCACTGTGCTGGTGATGTTTCTCAGTGCTAAAGGTTATAGCAGAAGTCAATTTGGTAATTTAGAGTGTATCTAGGCAAAAGATTGCTGTGAGGTAAAAACAGCCTCAATACGTCACTGACCAGAGCCCTTGGTGTTCTCTAGCTGTCACAGTACAATTTGTGGTGTGTCAGTAGTAAGATTTGCAGTTACCTTTTGTTTTAGTGTTTGAAGCTGACCAAAGGAACAAGAAAATATGGTAAACTCAGCTTAGTAGGGGTCAAAGCAAAAGCAGGTCAAATATGGAAGATGCAAGCAAACTTCTGGATGGGGACTCCTGTTTCATTCAGAGCTCAGCAAGGTCTGGGATATCCTTTATCTCCCCAGGGCAAGATCTAATTGTCTGAAGCACCTATTGAATAATAAAAAAGGGCAGGGAAGCGATGAGGTCACCAATCTCACTGATTTCAAATGACTCACTGCAACTACAATAAGAGCACAAAACTGGAAGGTGGAAAATTCAGGTACCCAACTTTCCTAGTGTGAGAAGTGCCATCAGAATAGCTAAACCAAAATAAACTGCCTAACTCTTCATTTCCTACCAGATGCTTTGGTGTTACTGGAAGAATCTAAATGTTATATTCTGTTCCTGACTGTCACTGATTTCATATATATATATATATATATATATATATATATATTCCTATATAACCTTAAACCAACCACAGAACAAAAACTTATCTTGTTAGTCATGCTTATGACTATTTCTAAGATGTATGAGGATGAATTGATGTTAAATTGCTTGGAGATTTGTGGATGCAATTCCTTATTCTGTTCCTGAGCATGTTTTCTAACAGCTCTCAGGAGCACATGGATTCACTGCACAGCTCTGCACCACTTCTGAAATGAATCAAAAGATGAATTTTCAAATGTTCTTGAAGTTCATTGTTTGCACAAGAAAGTCTTCTGCATTGCTGCCTAATGAACTGTCAGGAAAATGACTCCACAGATACTAAATTATAAGATCTGTCACAAAATGTAGCATGCTTAAATAATTTTTAAAAGCTATTAATAAATTCTGAGTTGAAACAACTGTCTCCATTCTTTCTCACCAGAGACAGCTGATCAAAATGTAGTCAGCACTGAATGGCTTGACACAGTTGAGTTGCACACAAATATGGGCACATGACTGTAAAAGAGGGGAAACTTGAGGTTGTGATGGTTTCGTTTCTTTGAAGTTTAAGCTCAGGTTTCACCATGTGGCATTTCCGCTGCTCAGACAGAAAAATGGTCAGTGACATTTCAGACAATGAGAAGAGAATCTAGCCATAAAGTGTTTTTTGTCTGAGAATCACAAGGACGAGTGGAAGAAATGTGTTTATATGGTAATTTTCCAGAGTTGAAAATGAGTAGTCAAATCATAAGTGATTGTCATTATTCATATCTGAACCCTGAACTACTGACATGTTTAAGTGTCCTGAAGTCTTGGGTACACTTCTGTAGTTACACAGAGTGACTTAAACCTTGCAGTCTGCTTGGTTTGCATTCTGGGAATGGCTTAATGCTTATGGATATGGAGAGCTAGCACACCCTTGGTCCTGCTCCAAATTCTGCCTGTAAGCCAGGTGCTCAGCTGCACAGGGAGCGAGCTGCATGTTAGAGATCTGCAGTTCTGTGTTGGGGTCATCAGGACTTCTTGGACCCAGTTGTTCAACTGTGAAATAAAATCCAGTATTTACTCTTGCATAAATGTTGCTTTTTAATAATATATATATATATATAAAGGCCTTTATTAGTTGTGTACCTGAGGGTTTTTGCCCTAGGCTAACAAATGTCAAAGTAATTGTTAAGCCTCTGTAAACAAGTCAGTGAAGTCAGCGCTGAATAGCTGGGTGCTTAGAATAAGGCCAAGGAGATCTTTGAGGCTTTTGGTGGTGTTCCCAGGGGTTGTGATAATGAACGCCTACCTGTAGGTGGGATAGGAGACAGGAGTAACTGACCAAATGCTTTTTGTTTGAACTCCAAATACTTGTGTTACTATATATGCTACCTGTGAGGTCAGGGAAAGGGTGTTCTAATGCAAATGAAGGACTTTTTTGTTTTTGTTTTTTTCTTTTGACTAGATCTCCTTGTGCCTCTGTACACTCAAGCCTCAATTTCCCTACCTCATAACCCTGGAAGATGCGCTGCTGGAAGCGGTCCACATAGAGAACTGGCCAGGGTATTAACGCTTCACTTGTTGTAACTCTGAACTTGTGATTAAGAATGCAGCAAAAACTTATCTTAAGCAGCCTCATGTATATCCACTGTGGCCGAGTTTTGATAAAGACTGAGTAAGTCATTTTTTCCCAGCAGTCAGATTACAAGGAAAAAAGCAGGGTAAAGGAGAAAAGTTGCAATCTTTTCTGAGAAGAGAGCTTTTCTTTATGAGAAAATGAGACATTCTTACAAAAGACAAGTAGGGTTTGATAATGCAAACTGTAGGTTTCAATTATGTATTTTCTCTTTTCTTCTCCCAAAGGAATTGTTAATGCCATCCTTAATAACATCTAGAAGAAAATCATTTGTGTGCGTGAAGGGGAAGGTGTACAGTGGCTCCTTGCAAGTATTCTATATAGCTGCCTGAAAAGGTAATGAAAAATCTTGTTTAGATATACACGCTTTCATTTTTTTTTCCCCAATTGAAATGATTGTTGGCTATATTTTTAGCTGTGCATTCATCTGTAATGTGGGATTTTTTACAGTGGGATTTAACTAGTGCTTCTCAAAATCCAAACCAAACTGAGTTAATGTTATAACAACTGACATCTTAGCTCTTGATGGCTTCAAAGGCCATTGGATACATTCATAAGAGATCCTCAGGTTGGCTCCCCTTATGTTTTATCTTGATATTTCATCTACTTCACTAGTCTTTGGTGATAATTCCAAAGTATCAAGTCCCATCTTCCCTTGACCCAGCCCACCAACAATGGAAATCTATTTCCCAGTGTCACCCTCTCTTTCCTTTCTTGGTTAGCAGCGAAACAGCCAAAGCCTTGACAATTCCAGTACCCTGCAAAGATCCTTGGCATTCAGTGTGTTGTAATGACCAGCATCAGATAACATCCCACTGCAGTCCTTGCAGTGGCTCACAAATCTGGGACGATTTCTCCTGTCAATTCCCTTCCACTTGCACTTCAGCTCCATGCTGATACCTTAAAAATGGTAAAATGGTGAGATGTGTCCTGTGAAACTATGCTACAGGAGTTGTTAAAGCTACTTTTTTGTTAAAAATTAATACTAATAAATAGACATTTAGTTACAAGTATAAGAGACAGGATAAGTTCTCAGGGTAGAGGTTTCTTGCCTATTTGTAATAACAGGGTGTTCTAGGAAATTTCATTACTATGACCATATCAAATAGAGGAAAGAGAAATATGAAGAGTTCAAAGACGGAAAGTGTCTATAGGGGCCAAAGAGGAATAATGAGTCACCATGTCCACTAGCATTTACAGGGAATAGAAAGCAGATAAGGCTTCATGCTCGATGTTTTCCAGTGAGATGTCTTCAGTAAACAAGCAAAACTATTACTTCTGTGGGATGATTTTTTTTGTCATCGTGTGATTAATAATTTTTTACTCCACTTCCATCATTCTATTCTTCCAACAAGGCGTACAATGAACATGTACTGTTTTTTTTTTTAAGTGTTGCATATGCACTGTCAGGGAAGAAAACAACAACAAAACAAACATAAGTAGTGATGATCCTGATGAGATTACATACTGTGAACAGCCCCCATAGCTGTGTGTTCCAAGATAGATGTAGCGGTTATAAGTTATTTGATGTACAAGAAGAATTTATCATCTAATCATTATAAGAGTCTGTACCTGGATGGTCCTGTAACAGTTGATTATTATTTTTTTTTTATAATCACTAATCCATGATGATCTTTTCTCATTTTGATGGACACAAGAGCTTAATTTTTGTATGTTTTCCTCCTGTTTCATCTAAAGAATGTTTGCATTTTATTTTGGCAAACTAGTTTTTTCTTGGCTACTCAAAACATCAGCAGTCTTTTCTATTAGATTGCCCTTGGGTGAATTTACAGTTCTGCTGTCTTGGCTATAGCATTTGACAAAACATTCATGGAATTATTTTTATGATAAGCGTTTTGTGGGATTATAGAATTGACAAAAGTATTTTAAAAAGACTATATTGTTCTTGTTCCAAAACTCACTCCTTTATCTGAATCTGATGCTTTTTTGATTTGATGAAAGGATAACAAATATTAATGACAATTCTTCTGTTTTCAGCTTAAGTGTTTTTTTTTTTCTTTATTCTCAGCCAACTTCACCTTAATTTATTTTCAATTGCACAGTCAGTAAAACTGGCCTACTCAGCATTTAGCAAAGCTTTGGAAAACCATGTACACTCTAGGAATAGCTGCATACTTTAGATAAAGACAATGGTAGTAACAGACATTCTCATTGAAGTAGTGCTGGAACATGAGGATTTGGCCACTCAAATACAAAGACTGTCACAGGGCAAAAATGAAGCTTTATCAATACTGACTTTTGTCCTAGTCCTATAAATATCTTGCACGGTGAGCAACTGTCCTACTGTTGTGTAGCTCCCCGCTCCTCACCTTTGAGATTGGGGGGACTGGTGAATGTGAATTCCTCCCCTCTAGATTTGGTTGCAAGCATCAGGGTAATAGTATTCACAATGTCTTCCCCATGTTTTCCTTCAGTGGTTAGTGGGATAATTCTTTGCACTACGCCAAACCCTTACCACGTGTGTATGACTATGTCTATTTCGCAATAGTATAACTTGATTGCATCACTGGTTTTCACTTGATGATATGTCAGTATGTCAGCTATGCTCTCAGATAATGTGTAATTCCAGTTGAGCAGAAGATAGGGGAAGTAAATTCCATTACAAAGCTTTTTTTTATTATTATTCTTTTTTCTTTTTTTTTTTTTTTTTTCCCCTTATTGCCTTTCAGGTCACTTCGTGATACCCCAGTCAATGGAGGTTAAGTACCACAGACAAGAGTGGTGACGCTTGACTTGCATGCAGCCTTTCAGAAGGGGTTGTGGTGGAGGGTGAGATCCACAAACTGCCCCCACAAACAAGCTGATGTTTCAGAGGTGGCAAGGTAGCATTTGCCTTTTCCATGCTGTGCCATACTCATGGGGAAATCCATGGGGGCTCTTGCCTCAGCTGTGGGCATGCCAGGTGAGCAGGTTGCTGTACCTATCCCTGCTTTGATTGCCTTGCCTAAAGCACACAGCTGTGAGACTTGGCTCCCTCCTTAGGCACCTGAAGATGAAGCCAAGAAAATGTGTTACGTGGCAGTGCTGCTGTTGGTTTTCTTTTCCCCTTGCCTGTAGTCATGCACGCAATTTCCTTTCCAGCTCCACCCTTACCCAGGGTGGCTGTTACCAGCCCCCTGCACTCACCCACCCCCTTCCCCTCTGTTTCTCAGCCTTTGGGACAAAGGCCGTTCCCCGTGGGGGAAACAGCGTGGGTGACTGGTGGCATCTGGTAACGATGCTCCACAGCCTGATGATGGGAAGGATGGAGGTCTGGGAGGGGATGCTCCTGGCGGGATCCACGCTGGGGTCGAGAAGGATGCTCTAGGGGGAACTTGCTGGAGGGGGGGATGCTGCCGTGGGGCTGGCGGGAAGAGCTCTGGGGGTGGAGGAGGATGCTCAGGGGAAGGAGCTCCGGGCTGGCACGGGGATGCTGCGAAGGGGGCGCTTGCGGTAAACCCAGCGCGTTCCGGGCAGGGCCCCCCCGGGGCCGCGGCGGAGGCGGTGGTGGCACCGCCCGGCGGGGCGGGGGGACCGGCACCGGGGCGGGGGCAGCGCGGCAGGGAGGCGACAGGGACGGGGACAGCCACACGTGCCGCCGCGGGGGGACGGAGCGGAGAGAGATGGCCGTGCCCGGCTGGCAGGTAAGCCGGCGGCAGGTAGCCCGGCTCCCCCGGTGTCCCCCCGAGCCCCTACCTTGGCTTTAGGGAGGCTGCAAGATGCTGCTTGTGCCCGGCCGCTTTGGTTCTTTGCACCTTCTTCTCGCCTTGGTTTAAGCACGGAGCGACTTCTCTTTGAAAGAAAAAAAAATAATAAAATTGAACTGCTCGTAGGAGTTCGGGGTTTATGTGGTTTTGCTATTTATTTTTTTATTTTATTGTGGCGGCCACGTTGTTTTCAGGCGTTGTTCTTATTGCCCTGGGTATCCAAGAGAAGTAAGTTTGTACTGGGAGGCTCGGGATTAACTCTGCTCGCTGCTTTTGCTTTGCAATGCGTGGCTGTAAGCGCTGCTGTGCATGATACTCGGACTCAAACGTTCAGACTTGTGTGAGTGTTTTTTTTTTTTTTCCTGTGAGAAAGTTATGTTGAAGAAATCAAAATTCCTCTTTCCCAGTCCCTTTTCAGTGAACTGATTCATGCCTGTGTATATTTGTTTATTGGAATGGAGTTGACTATTGACTTTAGTTAAAGATATAAGCTATTTAATTAAACAAACAAACAAACATGACAACTGAAAACAAAAAGGAAAAAATACAGAAGTATGTCGACATAGCAAAGTTGTTTTAAATGCACTTTTAAGGGAGTTTTAGGAAGTAAGCTATTGCATTTGTTTGTTTTTAAAACTTCAGCAACCTGTTCATGTGCTTGTAATGAGAAAAAAATAATTTTTCAGTGATGTTTGCACAGCTATGGCAACTAGTAAGGAGCTGGCTAGTTGGTGGACTTAATGATATGAGAGTTACTCAAAGTGTGCTGGAAGCTGAATTACTGCAATGTGGCTTTAAGAAAATAGAAATTATCACCTGGATATTTTTGCATTTTTTTTGGTTATTAAGTTGTAAAATTTGTGAATATGTTGCGGTGATTTTGGCTCATTCTCAGAATGATGCTATTGAGTGGGTAGGTTTAGCTGTCAGGATGAATGGGAGTGTTTGAGTAATAATCCTATTTGTTTCATTTCTTGCTGTTGTTCAATACCAATCGTAAAATAGCTTATCAGGCAAATAAGCTTTCACATGATGGAGTCTGAGGGTGGAATTGACATGTGTAGTTCCACTTTGCAATAACTGTAGGAAGAAGAATTTAAAGAATATGGTGCGGAAGGGAAATTTTTATTTTGTTTCTTAAAATGTTTTTTGGCACACTTCATCATTAATAGGAATAGTCGTGTCAAAAGTATGCTTAACTTTGATTACTTTAGAGAAGCTATCAAACTGTTTGAATTTGTGTGCATTTAAGGTATTCATTATGACACAAGACATCTACAGGGGCACCTGCGTACTGTCACAGCCAGTGGAGGGGGACACTTGAATAGAGTGTGGGCATCTAAATAATGTGTTTTCCTGCAATTGTCCCCTTTGGCTGGAGCACAACATGGTCTCAGAGGGCTAGAAGTGATGCTTGTTGTGTTGTGTGAGTTAATTGCTTTCATGACTAGATCAACTTCGCTGCAAGCTTTTTTTTTTCTTTTTTTTTTTTTTTTTTTTTTCAAGGGCTTTTGCATTTAGTAATGTAAGCAGCTGGTTTCCAGCTGTGCTGATGAAATGCCTTTTACTTGAACAGATAGTTGTTCAAAATACCTGCTCAGGCCAGAAATGCTCCTGAGGAGGCTGCAT